TGATTTGACAACAACACTGGGAACCAGAGGTTTCAGGGGCCCCGCTACAATAAACGCTGTGGTCTGCAAGTAAGGGGAAAATGCCCCCGAACGCGCAGCTAGAGACATCATCCTGGCGCCGCACTGCTCAGACGACCTTGTCTTCTTCTTCTTCTTTTTCTTCTTCTTCTTCTTATGGGGTTTTATGGCGGTTGGCAGACTTGTGAATTGTGCATTACCGCCACCAACTGATATGGAGTAAAGCAAGAAAACAGAAAACGATTCACCCCCCCCCCCCCAAAAAAAAAAAAAAAAAAAAAAAAAAAAAAAAAAAAAAAAAAAAAAAAAAAAAAAACCTGTGTAACTTAAACCAACATAATACTAAATCACATTTGCCCATATAATTTTTAATTTACTCTAGGTCATCTTAACTCTGCCAGTTTCTGATGGTCCCATCGGTCCTCCCATCATACTTCCAACCATCTCCCAGTTCAAATCTTTAATGTCCAGATATTTTTCTGCAGCCTTCACTATTATTTTGATTTTTTCCGTTTTTTTTGTTGTCTGTGCAGTACAATTAATTACTTCTACCATGAAAAGAACAAAATTTGTCTTTTTAACAATAAGTGAGTCTTCATCAATTTTTTGATTCTCTAGAGGTTTGGAATTTGCCGTGTGTTGAACTGTAGGTTTGGGTTTTTCTGACTGAGATGGGATCCTTTTTGCAGCTTCAGCGTAGGTTATTCCGAGCTCAAATTTCATTTTTTTAATTTCCTCAGACCTTTTGCTTGCTTCACAGCCGCGATAAGCAGCAGTATGTTCTCCACCACAATTACAGCATTTTATTATAGCTTCTTTTCCACATTTACCATATTCGTGTTCTCCTGCACACCTTCCACACCTCTGTTTCCCTTTACAAACTGCTGCAATGTGACCGAATTTTTGGCATTTGAAACATCTCAATGGTGGAGGATTGTAGATTTTGACATTATAGCTTATGTAACCGATGAATACTTTGCTTGGTAATTGCTCTTCCTCAAATTTAATTAGCACTGATAAACTGTCAGATCTTTCTCCGTTTCTTGTTGTTTTTAACCGTTTTACTTCTTTTACTTTTGCACCGCTTATGTTTTCCAGAATCTCTTTTTCAGAAATTTTTAGAGGAACTCCTCCAATGACTCCCCTGCTGATCTTTTTGTTCTCCATTAGGCTGCACTGAACTCTTATCCCGTCAATTTTGTTGATCCGTATTGCTTTGCCTTGCTGGGCGCTGTCTCTGCAGTTAATTAGCAGGTCTCCACTGTACAGAATTCTGGCACCTCTGACTTCTCCGACAAGTTTATTGATGGTTTTTGTTAAGTGAACCGGATTCCAATTTGTAAAAGAGTCTGCCTGATTAACGACTTTGAATATGACTTTGAATTCATTTTGTTGTGCTGTGGAATGTATGGAATGATCATCACTGGATTGTTCTGAACTAGATTCCCCTTGAACTGATCTCTGTTTTTTCCGCTTTTTCTCATTTTTTGATGTTGCTATCTTCCACCCTTCATTGTCACTATTTCCCTCTTCCATCCCACAAGAATCGCTTCCTGTTTCCTCACTACTCACGGCCCAAGACATTTCTCCATAAGCAGCTTCAAAACACGCGCCATGCACCAAAACCTCCTCCTCCTCTCTGTCTGTCACTTCCACTCTTCTTCTTTTTCTTCTTCTTCTGGTTCTTTATGGAAATTTTTGGCGGTTGCCACGCAACGAAATGGTTCATTACCGCCACCCACTGGTATGGAGTGTGGATCAGAACGGCTACTAGTTTATACCAAACAAACAAGTAACAATAAAATTAACAAAACAATATCAACAAAGCCAAAATAAGATTCAGATCCTTTCAATTACATTTATTAATCTAAGATAATGAAAAACAATAACATAGCACTTATCTCTTGAGTTTTTTCTAAGTATTTCTATTAAATCAAATTGTATTCTTTCCATTTTTAGATTTTGAATCATTTCTTTCCTTTCTCTTTCATACTTCCTACAGTATACCATAATATGTTCAACTGTCTCTTGTTACTCACAGTATTCACATCTGCCATTGTTATGTTGATCTATTTCTAATAATTAATCCTGCGTGCCCAAATCTAAGTCTTGATATAATCGTTTCCTCTCTTCTGTTCCTCCCTGCACATCTCATTTCTCTCACTCTTCTCTGAATCATGTAAAACCATCGTCCTTCCCTCTCTTCCTCCCATTGCTCTTGCCACCTTTCCTTAATCTTCTGTTTAATGATGCTCTTTAATTCCATCTTACTACTTTTAACTGGCACATCAATATCTTTTCTTGTAGCCTCCTTTGCAGCCTTATCTGCCATTTTATTTCCTTTAACTCCCCTATGTGCTGGTACCCATAAAAATATGACTGTAATGCCCATCATTTGAATTCTATTTAATAGGGTGATCATATTTTCATTTGGGAAAACCAGGACACCTTGTGTCTCATCTAAACATCCCTCACTTAACAATAAATGTTAACAATAACTTTCAACTCCCAATAACAGATGATACTCAGCCTCAGCAATGAACGAAATAATGTCTGTTCTGTAGGCTATTGGAAAATGTTAATTAACAAATGGATAATTTGTTAGTTCCCTGGTTTGACAAAGTACTGTGTGATCAAGCTAGCTAACCCGCACTGACGCGGCTCAGGGATTACGTCACACACAGCGCCGTGCACAGTGCCCTAGTGCCTGTAAATTTAATGGTCCAATTAAGGTAATTTAAAAAACAGGAAATTTCCCCACTTTCTAAAAAAAACCCGGGATGCCCGGGACAGGACGTGAAATACGGACGTTTGGTCACCCTACTATATAATGTTTGCTGGATTTCTATCAAAATATCTGCTCTGCTATCTGAGTGACTTCTCTGTAAACTAATTATTGAAGAAGATGAGTCTGAACAAATAATCCCTCTCAGTGATCTTATTTCCTCAACCCATTGCACAGCAAACAGACTTGCTAGCATTTCTCCTGTGTATACTGATATATTATCACTGCTCCTCTTTCCTACTGTTATATGAAACTCTGGAACAATAAAAGATACTCCTATCTTGTTATCTAAACTTTTTGATGCATTTGTATAGATCTGAATGAAACTATAGTAACTATTAATATATGCCCGTATTGTATGTGAATTCAAAATAAACCCCTTGACCTTGTTTTTCTTTTGTAATAGTGTCAGATCTACTTTAGCTTCAGATAGAATCCAAGGTGCTATTGCTGGCAGTGGTACTGTTGGACTGAACTTTAAATCAGTTAATTCTAACTCCATTGCTTTTTGTTTAACTGTCCACCCAAAGCTTTTACTCTCCCTCTTCTCCATTTCCCAACAAGATGTTAAAGTGCTTTGTGCAGGATGATCTTCACTGTGACCCTGTAAATTAGCCCAATAGGTCAGAGATAACTGAATTCTTCTCAACTCAAGTGGCATTTCTCCCATTTCCACCTGTAGTGCTGCTGTTGGAGTTGCTTTATATAAATAACCAGAAAGAACAAAATAAAAATCAAACCACTAAGACTATAAAACAGGAGTAAAGCAAAACTGAACACTAAAAAGAAAATATAACAGAACCAAGATTAAGACAGTAACTGAGAAAAACCCAAGGAACACAACAAAATAAGAATTAAACCATCAACACCTATAAAACAAACAGCAAAGCAAAACTGAATACCAAAAGAAAAACATAACAGAAACAGAAACCTAACATTATCAATATTATACATTCTCCTCCATTACCCTAACCTCTATCTCTACTGATGCGATCATATCCTTTTATAACAAACTCTAATTCTGGTTTAAGCCATGTTCTTTGAACACATATGAGTTCTGGTTTATTTTTCAATTTTTAAAAATCCCTTAAACTCCTCACCCTTTGCTATTAAGCTTATTACATTCCACTGTACAATAACCAGTTTGCCTTTTCACCTGGGCCTCCCAATTTTCCATCTGCTTCAAGTCTTGTTTTGATATGTTTCCAAGATACATCTTTTATGCCCCAAAACATCTCAGCTCCCTTAACTACTATTTTAATTGTCTCTGTTTTGTGTTTAACTTGATCAGTACAGTTGATCACATATGCTAAAATAATCTTCTCCACTGAGAGCTCTCTATTTGTTTTACCTGTTTGACCTGGTTCTATTCTCAACACCTGGATAACATTGTCGGTATCCACCCTTAGTCTTTGTCCTTGCACTTTCTTCACTGCTTCTGCATAACTTATGTTGTTAATTGTTTTAGCCTGCTGTATTTCTATAATCCAGTCTGTGAATATTGAAAGTTCAGTTTAATATAATCCAGTCAGTGAATAGTTCCGTCTGAGATTAATGAAAATAGTTGTTTTAATGGTTATAGAGTCAGATATGTGGCTGTAGTGTTTGGTTTATCTAAAGTTTTTTATCTGTAACTGTATAAATGGGTTTGGATTGAATTTAAGGACAGATTCTAATAGATCTGCAGGGGGGGGGGGGGGGGGGGGGGGACTATAAATCTGATTTAAATTTTTATTGTTATTTTGCACAATTTGCTTAACTAAGTATTTTTGTTATTGAATATTACAGATTTTGTAGATATATTTTTATACATACATTGTTTAGATTTACTTATATATTTCTAACCCTTTTATAGAATAGAATAGAAAATCTCTTTATTTTCCCACAATGGGCAGATTTACAGCAGCAGAAAGATTATTGAAAATGGTCACACAAATGTGGACCTTAGAAAAATGTCTAAGAATAACATAATAGGGAAGAGTTAAAATCTAAACAATAAAATACTTTATAGTGTTTAAATAACATAAATCTGTGCACCTGGATAATAAATAACCAATGCAGAATGACAGCAGCAGGTTATTTAACTGACTAAGATTTATATCATTACATTTGATTTTTTTTTGTTCCTGCTCCCGGCGGTTGGAACCTTTATTCCACCCTGGATTGTCGTGAGTGTAGTCTTGAATAATTTTGAATTGAGAAAGCTTCCTGGAGGGGAAGCGAAACGTCTTCAAACCTTGGAAACCAGTGGATTGTTTTTAATTTTGCAGAAAGTTTTTCTACTTTGTGTGCCAACTGTCACGGTTGCTAAGCAACATCGGTAGACCTGTATGAATTCACAGCATAAACTCTTCCGGTCTCACTCCTTGGAGGATGCAGCTCATGAATTGGAACGCAGCCAATGATTGAAACGAAGACGGCAGTTAAACTCTAAAACACTTAACGGACAAGTTTCAAATCTCCATGGCAACAGTAACTTTGCTGTTACCGAGATTTGTAGCGTGAAAGACAGCGATTGCTTTGAACAGGGTTTGGAGGAAGGTCGGTGCTCCAGTTTTCTGCAGGGAGGGAAACTTTTCCTCTGATCTTTGGAAATGGAAGAGAAAGATCCTCTGATGATGGCCGGAACAGACCTCAGCAGCAGCAGCAGCGCTCCTTCTGCAGGGAGCAGACTGCAGCTTTTACTGAGCATTGGCTCAGAATGGACCGGTCCCAGCGCAGCGCAAGGTCAGCATTCATTAGCATTCATTAGGGTTGAAAAGCTCCTTTAATTATGTCCTAGTCACCACAAAGTCTCCTACTCTTTACACCTATTTCTCCTTTTCTCACCTTAAAGCGGCACATTTCATCTTATTTATTTCACATTTAGTGGAAGGAAAATGAAAAAAAAAACTGTCTGATTGGAATATGACATTTTTTTATGCAGCGAATTTAAAACACAACATTTTTTTACACCAGTTTCATGGAAACCCTTCACTACCCGCACAGTAAATCCAAATCAGTTTGATTACTTGTTGATTTTTTTATTCTACATTTTAATTTTCTATCTAAATATATAACTTGTTTAATCATCTACTTAATTAATACATTTGTGAATTCTCATCATTGAAAATGTAAAAAAAAAGAAAAGCGAAGGTCTTAATCAAACTGCTGTACTAATTATAGTATAAATATATAGCGAGACGGTTGTAAAGTTAAGCAATCAAGTATTATGAGCGATATTTATGTTTATTCAGCATGTTTTAAGAGAAAATAAGGGGTTATTTTTTTCAAGTCATTTTTTCACTATATTATTCATTAATTTATAAAAAAAAACATTTTGAGTTACAAACTAAATATTTAGATTGTCAGTTAAAACATTTACTCAGCAAGTTTAATAATTTTCCAAACTAAATATTTTTTATTTGAACTAAATATTTATTATCAAAACGTAATACTTAATTTGTTTTAGAATTAATTATTTAGTTTGCAAATTAAATATTTAGTATGTTAAATAAATATTTATTTCAGAACTAAATATTTATTCAACAAACTAAGTATTTAATTTGAAACTTTGATGTTTATAAATGAATGAACGATATAGTGAAAAAAGTAACTTGAATAATATATCCCCCTTATTTTTCTCTTAAAACTCGTTAAATAACCCCAAAATGTTGCTCCTCATTTGAACTGTTTAATTTTACAAATGGCGCCCCATGAAATGGATTTAAAGCAGCTCCTGTTCATGCTGTGTATCTCAGTTGCAGCTATGAAGACTCCATGGGAAGAATGCAAGAGCGACTATCACCATGAAGGAACTTCATACTTCGCAGCTGGTGGTGATTTACCCAAAGTTCAAGTTCCCTTCAAAACCCTTCCTGGCAAAGCTCCTCGTGAATTAGTGCAGGAGAGGCATGTGCTGTTTGGAACTATAAAGAATAATTTCCTTTTTTCATTTTACTACAACTTAAAATCACTAAACTACTGCTGTGTTTTTTCTGTGAATAGATGCCGTAGGGAATACATGGTGTTAGACTTAGAGCAACTCTTAGCAGAGAAAGGCATAGAGTCTAACAGCTTAATGCCAAGAGATATGAACAGTGCTGCTCCTGTTACTCTGATGTCAGACAATACATTATCATCCTTTTTGCCTCTAGAGGTAAATCCACAGATTTCCTCCACAAATACTTTTCTGTTAACGTCCACAGTATATTTATTGTTGCCCCTTGCTCTTTTTAAATTTATCTGTTATTCATTTATTATTTTGTATTTTCTGAGATTTTTGACAACGAAGATTATGACTGCCGGACTCCGGAGGATTGGCTTGCTCTGGGCAAAACTGAAGGATCAGATGATCAAAAGCCTATTCCTGCAAAAGCTTTACTACCTAAAGGGGATGCAGCTTTTGGTGAAGGATTTTTCTTCCCTACATTATAAGTAAAAATAATTTTTGTTACTGTTTTCATTCACATTTGTTTTTCTTTTCCAAGATAACCCAGAGAGTCAGCAGCCAGGATACAGCTGGGAGTTAGTTGGGGTTCTTGACTATTGCAAAGAAAAATGTCAGTACTTGGTGCAGAAGGTTCTCCAACACAGCAATCTGGAAGAAGAGGAAGTAAAACCTTACGCAGCGAGAAAACACACGAAAAGTAAGTCCTTTTTTTGTTTGCTTTGTTCTGTAGCATTTTAACAGTAACTAATATAATAATGAAGAGAAATATTTACATACAAAATAGACTTTAATTTCATTTTCTTACTAATCGAATGAAACTCTTCATATTTGGTGAAAATATGTTGATCCTTCTACAAAATAAAAAAGAGGTGAATTAGCAGAACTAAGCATGTAGGAGACACTCCATCATTTCCACAGTGAAACAGGTAATCATGCATCAGAAAGACCACAGAGATACAAAAACTCCCAAAACAACTTTGCACTCAGGAAAAAAGTATTTAACCTTTTGGGACATGTTCTGTGGTCTGGTTTGAATAACTTATATGGTTTGGCAAGAATGATCGTCATAGCAGTCATGATTAGCACATGCCGTTGATGTGGGGGGGGGGACCAAAGGAACAAAGTAATGAAGACAATCCAGCAAAGTAATGAAGAGAATCCAGCAATGACGAACTGCACAAGAGGGGTATATATGGGAGACAGAACACAGAATGAGCTTATCGGCTCATAGGGAGCAGGTGTGGATAGAATCAACTACAAGGGAGCTATGGGAAAGGAGACTGGCACAACGGGGCAACTATATCACTAGAAATATAACTACAAAACACAGAATGAGAAAAAATGGAAATGAAACCAATGACTTAGAAAACACAGAATGACATAAATCAAAGTGTTACTGAAAACTCAAAAAGAAAACCTAAACAGAAACAAAAGTCCAGAAAGGGCAGAATGATGTCTAACTGTAAAGTAAAGGGGTGGCAGGATAATGATGCTTTGCAGCAGAAGGGATTGGTTAATTTCACAGATTAGACGGCATAATAAGGACAGAATAATATGTTATAGGGCTGGGCGATATAGAATAAAAGCTTATCGATAAAAAAATGCATATTGATCGATATCGATAATTATTGAAAAGATTTGAAACCATATTTTATGTGCAGCTCTGCCTGGACTTTTTATGATATTGCTAAATGATTTATTTCTAATACAGAACACAAACACAGACTTCCAATCAAATATTTATTTAACCAACTTTTTTAACCATAATTGTTTTAAAGAAAAATAACTTAAGAGACCTGAGTTATGTTATTAAATACTGACAAAGAATAAACTAAAGTGACCAGAAAAGTGACCAAAATAAATATAACAAATAAATAAATAGAATCCCCTATTTGGGTGGGAATAGTCCACCACCAGCTTGTGCTAATTAAAAGATTGTAGGACTAGGCTACCATTTAAACTCCACTCAACAAGAACAAAAACCCAAATCAACTCACCCTTTAGCCTAGCATTTCTATGGGGGATTTTTTTCTCACCCCTATTCTTCTAGAGGTGATGCTGACACCTCGTTATGGTTCAGCTTAGCTTCCTGCTTTAACCTCTTACACCCTAAGGGGGTATAAATAAATTTCTGCCTGACAAAAACACACAAAAGTAAATCACTTATAGCCTCACAGCTATTAGATTTAAGAAGAAACTTTTGGTACGTCTGTAAAGGTAAGATGTCATAGCATGGTTTTCTGGTGTCAGCACCATTGTAGCTTTGACCCTGCCTGAAATATTAGGGACAAAATACAAAATATTTTGCATTTTTTGAACCTCGCCAAAATTTTCTTTGAAATAAACATTGCAAAACACTACCAAAATATGGTTTATAGCACAAAAAAGTAGTACAGACTTTTAAATCTAAATGTTGTGTAAAAATATACCAAATTTGGTATCAATCAGATGAATCATATTTATTTTAGAATGGTATTAGTGAGAAATTTCTTAGGCGGAGAGGCCATTTTGGCACATTTATCCAAAAATGTCACCAAACTGTGCCAAATGTGTTTTTTACATCAATACTGGGGGTTTGTTAAAATTACGAGGTCACGTAGCAGCTGGACCCACCGGTGGGTCCGTAGGGTTCTAGGGGTTAACCTGAGTTATTACTTTGAAGTTGCTGGCCCCTCAGCATTTTTCTCTCAATTGTTAGAACTACATGGGAAACTGCCCAGAACTGAATATATATATATATATATATATATATATATATATATATATATATATATATATATATATATATATATATATATATATATATATATATATTTTCCCCAAATTCCGGAAGATTCCTCAGAGGAGAGCCGCGCCGGGGCCTACACAGCTCGTATTCCTGCGGGTGTGAGCGGCCGAGATGATAAAAAAAGTTGGTTGTGTTATCAGACTTGGTTTTCACTGGTTCCCTACACATTTTACAGATGACTGTGGTTTGTTTTTTGTCCGACTTGCCATGACCGAAATACTGCCAAACTGGCGAACTACAAAAACCCTTCTTTGGAACAATTTCCTCCGCCTCTCCTTGCTGCGACATCTTAATGTGCTCTGTGTTGTGGTCTCAGAGGACGGCGCTTGGTGACGGCGTGCCTGGGTCCGCGATTGTGATTGGTTGGGAGGAAGTAGTGACTAGCATAAACCTACATGCTAGGCTACAATGAGAAGGAAGGAAAACTGCGTTTCTTTATCAAACTTTTATCGACTCTCTTTTTTTCTATTGCGCCACACGTCTATCGATCGATATATATCGTTATTGAATTATCGCCCAGCCCTAATATGATATCTCTTAGTGGTCGAGATTATATCTAAATAGAAAATGAAGTCAAGGATTTGGAGTGGCTATCATTAATCTATGACCTCAGTACCAGTTCTAACAGCAAACTGTTGATAAAGGATATTTAAAATTGGACCCAGTTAATAAAAAAGGCAATTACTCAAAATGACTGAGACAGTCTATTTTTTTTTATTAACTTTCTTTATTGGAAGCAATTTAAGAAACACAGTAGTTACACACAGGTGCAGCATGACAGGTGAATCTTCCATTATTTTTCCCCGTTTTTTTCTCTCCCATTTTCCCCCTCCCCTCCCCTCCCACCCCAATAAAGAGCAGCTGCTCATGTAAAGGAAAATCAACATATAATCAATACAGAGTGTGTACAAGAACATAAATAAGAAAAGTAGAATGACTAAAAGTAGAACAAGACTGACAATCTACCTGAGGTGTACAATGTTCAATGTAAATTTATAGAGGTTTCCAAGTCCTTTCAAACGAACTTAAGGACCCATTGAGGGAAAATCTAAGTCTCTCCAGCCTGACTGTCAGTAATACTTCCTTCACCCATCTGTTGTGAGATGGAGGATGAGGATGTTTCCACTTAAGAAGTATGAGTCTCCTGGCCAGCAGGGTGACAAAGGCTAGAACAGTCTGCATGGCTTTAGAGTTAAAGGGCTGTAAGGGGACACCAAACAAAGCTAAGTGAGGATCAGGAGTGATGACAGTATGGTACGCTGTACTAAGAGTTGTGAAGATTTCAGACCAGAATGTGGCAAGCCTGGGGAAGGACCAAAACATATGGGAGTGGTTGGCTGGAGATTGTTTGCACCTATTACACGAATCAGTTACATTGGGAAAAATCCGGGACAACCTTAGATTAGTGTAGTGGGCTTTATGTACAACTTTACATTGCAAGAGGCTGTGCCTTGCACAGATTGAAGAGGAGTGAACCATCTTTAAAACCTGTTGCCAATAATCCTCAGGCAACGAGGTTCCAAGCTCTTGCTCCCACGAGTCCCTGGGTCCAGGTGCCGGGGCATTGGCAGTGGAATTAATGAGGCTGTAAATGCTAGAGGTCAATCGTTTTTGTTCAGGGTCAAGAGCCAGTAGTGAGTCAACTAGAGATTCTGGGGGGCGACTAGGAAATTTGGGGTTCTGATTCTGAATAAAGTGTCTTATCTGGATGAAGCGAAATAATTGGGATTTGAGCAGGTGAAATGTTTCTGAAAGCTCTGAGAAGGACATAAAAGTCGTGTGGTTATAAAGGTCTTTAAATTTAGTTATCCCTTTGTCAAACCAAGTCTGAAAGGTCAAATCAGAACAGGAGGACAGAAAGAGGTGATTGTTTACAGTTGGAGAGAGGTCTGAGGCTCTGTGGAGACCGAGGCTTTTCCTAATTTGGATCCAAATTTTAATAGAGTTAAAAACCAGTGGATTTGAAGTAAAATTGGATATAGTTAACGGGAGTTGGGAGCAAATCAGGGAATGAAGAGAAAGTTTAGAGGATGAAAGTTCCATGTGTACCCAGGCAGGTCTTTCATCATAGGCTGTGTTGGTTATCCAATATAAGTGTTTATGAATATTGCAGGACCAGTAATAGTGCAAAAAATTGGGCAGCGCTAAGCCGCCAAGCGCCTTTGGAAGCTGTAGCACTGACTTTGTGTGTGTTGCCCCAGAGGAAGGAACTTATTGATTGATCAAGCAATCTGAAAAAAGACTTGTTAATAACAACAGGGATATGTGAGAAAAGATATAGAAACTTGGGTAACACAACCATTTTAACCAAACTAACACGACCTGACAGTGATAATGGGAGAGCAGACCATCTGTCAAAGTCTAGTTTACATTTCTCAAGGAGAGGAGAGACATTTTGGGAGAAAAGTTGGTTGAATGAATTTGCAATGTGCACCCCCAAATACTTAAATCCATCCCTAGCATATTTAAAAGGGAAAAAGGTTGGGGGGATATTTTTGGCCAGAGAGTTAACAGGGAAAAGTTCGCTTTTGTGGAGATTAAGTTTGTAGCCTGAGTAAGATCCAAATATTTTTAAAGATATCTAGAATTACAGGAAGAGACGCAGCAGGGTTAGCCATATATAAAAGGAGGTGGTCAGCATATAACGATAATTTATGGACTTTCCCGGCTCTGGTGATGCCCTCAAACCCACCCTCCTGACGAAGCTAGATGGTTAATGGCTCGATTGCTAATGCGAATAAGAGGGGGGAGAGAGGACAGCCCTGTCTAGTTCCCCGACAGAGGGGAAATGAGATTGACTGAAGACCATTTGTGTGGACAGTGGCAACTGGGTTGGCATAAAGTAGTTTAATCCAAGATATAAATTCAGAGTTGAAACCAAATCTTTGCAAAACAAAAAAAGGAAGTTC